TTATTGTGGAGTAAAATGTGACCCTGCTATGTTCTTGACAGGTTTTGTGAGTCAAACATCACTGTATGAAGAAAGTGCAGCTAGACATATCAGTGAAATGGATGCGGTTTGTTTTGCTTGAGATTTCATACAAATATTAAAACACAGATTATCCCCACAGGGAAGCTTTGATATCAAGACCGGATGAGCTTTCCTATGAAGTTATTAAGATCCAGGCAACAAAGGTAAGGCTGAATGTTTGTATGCTTGTACAGTAATACACTTCGGTTGTTTCAGCACAATGCTGTTTGATCCTTGGCCTCAGAAAACATTGTAATGCCTGATTACCAGTGATCCACCCACACTGAGAAGAAGCTCTCAGCTTGTCTAATTGGTTTTTGACAGACTAAAGATTTTGAGTCTTAAGTTAACTTAAAACTACCAGAGGACCATGGGAGTAACAATATACCTCTGACTGGCTCATTTCAGGACAAACAGACCAATGCAGAGCTGGCTAAGATCATGGGGGAGTTTGGAGAGACGGGAGAACCCGCCCCCAGTTCCAGCAGCAAGGGTGACGACCTCCTGGCCATGATGGATGGGCTGTGACTTAAACTTGATGTTCCCGTTGACTGAGCAGAGTGACTGAGCTGTTAAGCAGGATAAAGTGCTACAATGTCTTACTCAGCAAAGAGGCCTTTTGTCTGGAGCTACAGTGACAACCGTATATATTTAGAACGACAGCTAAGCTCAACAAGAAAGTCTCTCTTTGAGAATTTCACACAATTTTTGTCTCCTGCCACCCACCCAATGTGAGAAATGCAAATAGCAGGTGTAGAAATGTAATATGCGTCTTGCTGTGGGACCATATTCATTTTTTCATATTCATTCTGTCAAGTCACTTTGGAGGTGGCACAGGCCATATCATCACGTATTTCAGCGAATGGTTTGATATCAGTCTTCACAGAAACGTCTGCGAGGCTTTGATGTCACAGACATTTCTGTGACATTTAGATCAGTGGACCGAATAAAATGCCTTTTCTGGACTGTCTTAGTTGTCTAAGAGGACAATCCGTGCACATGGAATTCATTTAAATCTGTTTGATGTGCAACCGAGAGGCGCACGATTTGCATCCACACAACAAGCGCTGATTAAGACAGGGTAATGGAGGAAACCGAAGTGCACTTGCAGTAAATATTTAGTGCAGATCCCAAAACTGGTTTACAGGAAGCCCCGGGACAATTGATGTGTGTATGTTTTTGTCTTTATTTAAAGGGAGTGCAACAAAGTCAGGTATTTCAAGCTCAAGAATTAAAATGTCTTAAATTGTTGCATTATGTAAAGGGACAATGTATACATGAAACCACCTTCCATGGAAAGAAAGCAATGCAATATGTATGGTGGATGAAATTGTTTATTTTTCGTAACCATAATAGAGCTTATTTATTGAGGTTAATGTACTGAATGTTCATTTGTGTCTGTTTACGGTTATATTAAAATTGATTTGAATGTGAAATAAAGTAGATCGTTTTGCAAACAATGACTGGTCAACATACCAAAGTTGCATGTTTGTTTTAAAATAATACTTTCTTGGTAAAGTAATAGTTCACACAAAAATGCAAATTTGCTCACTTTCAGGCCAGCCAACATGTAGCCTAGATGAGTTTGTTGCTTCACTGCATACACTGGAGAAATTTAGCATTACATCACTTGCTCACTAATGGATGAATGGGTGCCGTCAGAATGAGAGTCCAAACAGCTGATAAAACTTCACAAGTAATCCACACAACTTCAGGCCATCAATTAATGTTGTGAAGTGAAAAGCTGTGTGATTTTTAAGAAATAAATCCATCACTAAGGCATTTTAACCTTAAACCGTCGCTTCTGGCCAAAATTTGAGTCCATAGTCCATAATTATAAGTGCTAATAAACAGTGTTTGATTTGCACATATTTTTCTTCTGTTTCCGACAAGACGTCTTTTTCACTGGATAGGCAACAGGCCTATTATGGATAGAGGATAATACTTGAGGAATATTGTGATGTTTATACTAGATGTTTCGACGTTTCAAATCGTTTTCAAAGAAGAAACAAACTCATCTACATCTTGCATAGCCTGAGGTGAGTAAATTTGAAGGGAATTTTTATTTTTGGCTCAAATATTCCTTTGAGGTAAACAGAAAATCGTACATTCGTTCTAACATTCAAAGATGAAGTTACACAAAATCAAATACACTCTTAAAAATAAAGGTGCTTCACGATGCCATAGAAGAACCTTTTGTCTAAATGGTTCCATAAAGAACCTTTAACATCTGAAGAACCTTTCTGTTTCACAAAAGGTTCTTCAGATTACAAAAAAGGTAAGAAAGAGATGGTTCTTTAAAGAACCTTTGACTGAGTGTTTCTTTTATGGCATCGCTTGAAGAACCTTTTGAAGCACCTTTATTTTTAAGAGAGTAGGTTAGTGCTTCTTTGTGAACACTAGATGGCGCAATGGAATAATGCAGCGTTGTTGACATCTTAGGAACAGAAATATTACTTTTTTTCACAAAACAAAGATTTACATTTTTTATTATTATTATTATTACAGAAATTAATAAAGAAATAGTCACTAAGAAGTAGTCACTTCAATGTAAGCTTGTGACATTTGATACGCTAGAGTTTTAGTGTGTACATTTAAACATTTTGAACTCCCAGCACAGAATTTTGTAATAGGCCTAAATCTGACTGTGGTTTTATGTGAAGGGGATGTAAACTTTATGAAAAGAAGCTCCTGTTAGTGCATTTTCCCTTTAACTCTCCAAGTCTCTCTATGGCAAATGCTGTTTAAGCATTTGATCTGTTATGACTTTTCCAGACAAGTAATACTGAAAACCCCTGTGTTCATTTGAATAGTCGTGGGAGACGAATCTCTCACCCACACAGTTATGAATGAATTGCTCTCACAGTTGTTCCTCCATGGGAAAAAGCTTCTAATATTCATTACCTGTGCTTTTTTGACTCCCACGGCAAAATATTTTGACATGATGTGACTGTGCACTGCTGCATTTCTGGGACACTTGTACTTCTAGAATATGCATCATGAATATTATTAAAAACAAAACAAAAAAACAAAGTTAATTTATTTTAATTCAAGTCACGTCACCTACACTGCAAAAATAAATATGACAATACTTGATAAATATGTAACTAATATTAAAATAAAACAAATACAATTATAGATTATATTAATTTAGAAATGAATTATAAATTATAGGCCTATTTAATTTTTTTTAAATGATGGCTTTCATATTTATTGACCTGGGTACAATCATTTGGACACATGTAAGACCTCAGCACATTTTCGAGGTAGAGTAAAACTAGTGAATGATTTATTATTTCTTGGCAATATTGTGGAAATAAAATACATAATCCTATTTTGGGAAACTGGCAGAAGGTTCACAAAAAGTCTCCATTTTATATAATAGTATATAATAGTTATATTTTCTTCATAATTTGTGATTTTGCAGGATAAAACTATAGTAATATTTTAATAATGACGCAATTTTTATGTTTTAAATATTGTTATTCCAGTACAACACTTATTCCATGCAAGAGCAAGAGATGGTTATTTGAAGGAAAGTAAAGGAATAAAGGTATTGAGACAGACTATAAATGCTAAATCCAGACGTTATAGTAAGGAGTGTGCGCGTGAAATTGTCCTTGCAGTCTTTCTCAAATTCCACTGCTTCTTTATCAGACATGGGCACTATAAAGTATGATTCACAGTTTCCACCCCACACACCGTGGGTTGGCCAATGTTTAGCCACAGGCTTATAAAAGTGTTTCATGTGGTTTAAGGCAAAGGCCATGCTGAGTTAAGACAGGAAGACAGCACAGCCTTAAATCAGTTGCTGCCCTTTAAAACACTCTCTGTTTGACATGCAGCTCTGCACCAGCCCACTGAATTGAAACTTGATGTTGTGGGTGAAGCCGGTTAGTTTTGGGGGATCTAAAATTGGATACGATATCGAGGGTCTTGTGAATGCAAGAAACCGGTTTGCTGTACTCGCATGAACAGGGGTAGATTATTATTGATCTATTTACCCTTTAGTCTTGGATGCAATCGATGTGTCATGTTTATTTCACCTGGCACTGATTCTTGACACACGTATCTGCAGTTTCTTAAAGTGACAAAATTTCCACTATTTAATTAATTAAACATTATTTCTAGAATGTTCTTAAGACAAATGCAACATATATTTATTGATTCTCTTTATTTGAGCAAAATTATGACATAACTCATAACCTCTAAAACCACATGTCCTCGTATCTCAAAACTTTATTATATTAATACACATGCATATTTTTAAGAGACATTGCTATGATGGAGCTGAAAACTATTTTCACTCATTAATTGCTAGTAAATTTCAAAAATAATTACAAAGAAGCATTGGTACTGGTACAAACATTTATTATTAATATTTGACACATTATATTGTTTCTGGCAGCTGTTGACACTGATCTATATCATTATTATTATAGATAGCATTAACTATTATAGACCAGTGCTGTGCACAGTGCACACATAATGTGTGATGATAGGCAAAAACAAACATGTGAGGAATGGAAGAAGCCAGAGTTTGCACGACAATGTATTGTAAAACTCTTCAGATTACTCTAAATAATTTTTTACATACATAAAGTTTTTTTTTGTTCCAAGTAGCTACTCAAGAATAAATGTGTATATCAAGTTTTGTTAGTAATGTTTGATAAGAGTCCGGTTTTATTACTTAATTCCGTGTATGGCGATTCATTTCCATCGTAATACATCTTTTTTTTTTTAAACAAAACTCCACATTTGTCAAAACTTGACTGGAGTTATGCAGTAGTACTCTACTGCTCATTTACATAGTGCTTACGTTTATCATTCCACACTAGCGAAGAATGCCAATCTCAAGAACGCACGTAAGGGGGCGGGAACACCAAACAACGTTTTCTATTGGCCTCGCCTCTCCGTCACTCACAGCATGTGCGTCATTTCCGTTGTCAGGTGGTGCTGCTATGGAAAGATGTGATCAGTTGTCCTAAGAAGGCTTTTCCCTCAAAACCCCTGTCGGTAAACGTGACATTTCTCCAGTTCGCTTGAAACAAACCTCTTCGTGGTGGAGTGTAAATGTCGGTGCACCCCTGCTGAACATTTAATCGGCCAGAAATGAGTGGGAATTAGTGTACGACAGAGGATTCCCTCGGCGGTTTTGGTAAGTTGTTAAATGGCCCGTCGGTCGGCTGAGGAGATTTTCACAGTCCGTTAAAGGGACACGGTGAACTCATTGGCTTTCTGGTCTTTAATTTCATCCTTAAATTCAGATAAACGCGCTTTTGCAACGATTAAATTGTCGTCTTTTTAAACATGTTGCGATAAAGACTATATAAGCAAGAATACAAAGTAAAAATCAGTAAGTTTCGCTTGCAAGTGCTAGACGACTCGAGTAGGCTCGTTGTATTAATATGAACGTGAGCTTTATTTTCTTACACGCGCTTATTTAAGTCATTTATATTAGTGGTTATTGTTATATTTTACTTGTAGCTGGTTGACAGCGTTCGTCGGTGTACGCCGTGTACTCAGTTGTGATCACATTGCAGTGCTCCTGTCTCTATTCTCTCTGCTGTCGTTTTAACTATAAATGGAAACATTAGTCACTTGTTTTTAAACACCACAAATCTTAGACATCCAAATATCAAACAAAACGTGTGCAAAAATGCACATCTGATACGGGTTGCATCAAGCTGCCAGTCGGTGCTCGGAGGTTGCCAGGTTCTCAAGTTTGCAGTGCATGCGGTGACAGCTAGTATATTTAGATCTAATAAAATATTAAAATGTTCTGCTGCTGTGTGGATCAGAGCGTTTAAATCATGCAGGGATGATATTTCACTCTGATGACTGTGATGTGTGTATAATGCCATAAGATGACCACACTGCATCCATTCAGTCTGATGAATTCAAAGCAGTACGAGTAATCCTTCATATAGTATGATTTCATCAGCAGCATGCCATGTTGTTGTTGTTGTTGTTATTAAAGGGATGGTTCACCAAAAAACGAAGGTTTGTTCATCATTTAATTATGTTTTTACAAACCTCTGTGATGTTTATTAGTTCAGTGGAACACAAAAGATGATGTTAGTATTAGAGACTAACAGCCTTCCATTCACTTCCATTAATTTTTTCCCAAATGCAATGAAAGCAAATGCTGACTGAGACCGTCTAGCATCTCCTATTGTGTTCCACAGAAAAACATCATGTTTGAAACAACAGGAGGGTGAGTGAGTAGGCCTAACTAATGACAGTTTTCTGTTTACTGGTGTTTGCTTCCTGAGAATTCCATTCAGTAGCTCTGAATTGGATTCAAGATTGTAAGCATACGTGCATCTTGCTGTCAGTGAGATAATTTCAACTGCATTCAGGTCTGGCATGACCTAAAATTATTACAGATGGTTTAATACCAACCATGATGTCTTTAGTTTCCCTTGAGGTTGCAGGTCACATTCTCAGCCTTGGTTGTGCCAATGCACAGACACGCTCTTTGCAACAAGCCGTGGTGCTTTAAAGATGTCAGATCTCCAACAATGCATGTCAAAAGTGTTGATGAAAGCAGTCACGTCTCTCACCCCCGTCTGTCACATTGTCAACAGTCTGGGTCCAGAAAGACAAAAAAGCTGTAAACGTGTGAAATGATATGCGATAACTGCCAACTGTACCCCCTCCTACGTCCTCGAGACAAGCTGTGTGATCTATTGCAGAATTACATTTGAATGTCTGTTTCATTCAAAATTACAATGCGACCAAGCTTGTAGCTTAAATGTGAATCACAACTGTCTGTAATTCAAACTTCAGATGCTATTTTAGTTCTACTTCATATGTATTTGCTATTAGAGCACATTGATTGTCATTTCATTATCAATGGGATTTCATGCCCAGTCTCTGCATTGTGCCTTCATTTAAACAGAGTTGAGATTGATTTTGAAGAGCCCAAGGGGTGCAGAACTGTCCACGATGCTAAATGCGCTCTCCCACCCCCCCGCTCGCATCGTGATATGATGTCTAGAGGCTGCTTGTGTCACGCTACCATTGGTGTCAAACAGCAGCATTTCTTATTTCTGACAAATTGCTACCAGTGCAAACCCCAGGGCTTGTGTGAATCACACTGTATCCGTCCGTAGCACCACTTGCCTTTCTGTAGAACCACATAAGCAATCATCAGATTATACAAGAACCCAATAAAACAAGCAGGCTTTACTCTGAAAGAAGTCTTTTATTCTGAATGTTTGACTATAATTAATGCACTGCTTGTGATATCGGAATGCTTTTGCTTTTGAAATGTTCCTTGTTGCAGACCGGTCAGTATTGCAATCTTGTAATATGCAGATTACGCCACAGAGATTTGCAGATAAACCCATGCAGATTAAGGAATGGAAGGATTACAAATAGTGAAAGGGAAAAAACATGAATTGCAGCAGCAGAGTTCAAGATTCATGGGTTATTTTAGTCAATTTGAGATCCGTCGGTGCTGAATGTTTTCCTTTCTCGGGCGAGTTGTGGTCAACGGCACCATTTGTGAATGGGCTTCTATTGTCTAACATGGCAGTCACATCAACAGTTCACACCTGCTGCTAATCTTTGCTCATGCAAATGCATATGGACCTGATGGGTTGTCATTCATACAGGGGTAGAGTTGTTAATGGAATCTGACTGTTTTGAGGTGTCGGGGGAGGGCATGAATTCTTCACCTGTTATTTGCCCTCTTTAGAACTCACACTTTGTTGATGGTGTACTGAAAGACCTCATTGGATTGGCTGTTGTCTCTCAAGGCAAGAATTGAATGAGTGTCATAGGGTTGCTTTGTTTGGATGCCTTGTAGATTTGATTTTAGTCAAGAAGTCCCATTTCTCTGGTTGCATGTAAGGTTGTTTTATGAATCGAGTATTGACGCTTTCTCAACTCTTTTTCAGATCTGCAGAATGTCTAAACGCCGTGCTTCGGAACGAGGGGCCGGAGAGTCATCCGGCAGACCCAGCAAGCTCCTTTGTCCTGGGATATCTGGCAACAACGCTAAGAGAGCTGGTCCCTTTGTTTTAGGTAAGCTGCCTAGAGTATTGCAAGTGAATCTTCAACACTAGCTTTTTATGTTTCTATGCAGGCGAGAGGAGGAGGGGGTATAGGCTCCGTTCAGAGTCCTCTGTTTGAAAAGAATTTCAGGAATGTTTTAGATTGACGGCTTCACTTCTGAATCTGCAGGTCTTTTCCTGTATGGCGCTATCACACTATCATCTTGCCTTTGAAATGCACCCATCACAGTTGGAAATAGCAGTGTGACGTAGTAGTGCAGGGCGCTGTGATAAGAGTGTTTATGATTGGCCTCAAGGGGAATTGCTGTGCTCTGTACTGACTATAACTTTTTCATCTATTTACACTTCTTTTATTTATTCCTCTCCATCTTAACAGGTCCACGGCTGGGAAACTCTCCCGTGCAGAGTATAGTGCAGTGTCTAGCCAGAAAGGATGGGACGGATGATTTCTACCAGCTAAAAGTGAGTGGTTATTCTCACCTAGTCTGCATATATTTGATCATAAATACAGTAGAAACTGTAATATTGTGAAACATTATTACAATTTTTAGTATTACAATAACTGTTAACCATTTTAATATTTTAAATAGTTTATGATGGATTCAGTGAAGGATCAGTCCGACTTCATTCTGAAGATCTTGATAAATTGAAAAAAAAAATCATTGTTTTTACCCAGCCCTACAACATTTTTGTCCCTGTTTAGATATTTATTGGGTTTCAGATCAGACAAAATGGCTTTTAAAACCAGATGTGAGGTGATACAGAAAGACACAATTTACAAAAAACCCTCCCATGTGATTCAAACATGTCCTGGCCAGGGAATTGAGACTGTTTCTGAACACAAAAGCCCCTGTGTGTCTCACTGTTTGCATGAACCTTTGACCTGCCACAACAAATCTCCACAATACTGTCCAATTCATGACCGACTCTGGTTCAGAGATGACCATCAAACCTCATTGTTTATGGACCAGCCTGTTACTGGAGGGGCTTCACTGAAAGGTGCTTCACTGAAAGGTGCTTGTCAACCTAGAGTCTAACCTTTTGACCCCACTCTTCCATGCCCCTGAGTCTAGTGTCCCTCAGATGGTTGTCCAGATGTGTTGAAGTACATGTGAGGGACTTATCTTTGTCCCCTCTGAAGATAAAGCCTTTAATGGACCCTCTGTATTGCCTCAAGATCATTGATAGCTTAGTATGCCATCGCAGTGAAGATAAGAGACTCCCAGGAAGGTTTAGAACAGGATCTAGTGGTGTGGTGTCTTCTTACCTTCGACCTTTGTCGTAGATTCTCACCCTGGAAGAACGTGGAGACACAGCAGGAGAGACACAGGAAGAAAGGCAAGGGAAAATGCTCCTGCATACAGAGTATTCTTTACTGTCACTGCTCTCCAACCAAGAAGGAGTGGTGCACCATCACGGCCTCTTCCAGGTAAGACTGATGCTTCATGATTTTTTCTCAAATAGTTTTGGTTTGAGCCGCACAAATTCATAGTTTGGTTTGGTTACACGCATTCTTCAAAATATCTTTTTTTGTGTTCAGCAGAATAAAGAAGCTCATACAGGCTTGGAACAACTTGAATGTTTCGGTCTAATGTAGAATTTCATTTTTGCATCTTATATCCGTTAATTCTGTTTTTATTAGCTGATCAGAGTACACATCTGTCCACAATCCGCCTTTCGAAATTGAAATGCACAAAGACTTGTTTTGGAAACTGGCTGTGCCTTTTTGAATCAACATGCAATCGATTTGAGAGATGCCTAAAGATTCCCTCCCAGACTGTACGTTCTCAGTCCCACGACTTAATTTGTTTCTTCATTGTTCCATCAGTTGTTTTCATTTTCATCACAAAGTGCTCGCAGTGACTCACCACTTACTTTCTCTTTGAGCAAGACGCTTTCTTTTTTTCTCTTGCTCCTGTTTTTCAACTATATCTAGACCTCTCCTTTCTTCCCCGGTGGAAATGGGCTGCAGAACAAGCCGTACTGTGCTGTCAGGGCCATTCATTGAAGCTCGCAGTATTGATTGGTTTATTATAGCTTCTCTCTAGAGTGGGCCAGTTAATTATGGATTGCTTCTTGTGTTCGAAGGCGCAGTCATTGCAAACACAAACCACACCGCCAATCGATTCATGGCCCTCATTTGACCCCAGTCTCAGGTGACTGAAGGAGGGCTTTCATCATTCAAGCTGTTGCACTTGGCGAGGCATACAGGAGAATCGCTGCTGTGCTTTTTGTACCAGCAGTCCATTAGCGTCATCTTGTTCTTTAAACCCTGTATTTTCTTCTTTCGCTCCATTCAAAAGCTTAATGGTGCAGTTATGTGTTCATTTGCTTTTTTTTTACACATTGTTAAATGCACTGCTGGGCTGTCTGAGGTAAAGTCTTTTATTCTGTCACTGCAATTATTCTCAGCGCAAAATTTTTCTAACACATTATCTCTTTCACTTCTCCATCTCAGGACCGCTCCTGTGAGATTGTCGAGGACATGGAGGCCAACAAAGTGCGGAAGATGAAGAGACGAATCTGTCTGGTGCTTGACTGCCTCTGTGCCCACGACTTCAGCGACAAGACGGCCGACCTCATCAACCTGCAGCATTACGTCATCAAAGAGAAGCGACTGAGCGAGCGCGAGGCCATCGTTATTTTCTATGATGTGGTGAGAGTGGTGGAGGCATTGCATAAGGTGAGCTGCCAACTGCTTTTAAAGTCGATGTAAAATCAAAATGGTCTGTTTTACTTGACAACTTTCTTAATGGCGCTAGCAAGGCCAAGGTCAGGAGTTTGTTTACCTATTGTGGTTTCCCATGATAAAATTAAGTCCTACTATTTTTTTTTTTTTCATTGAATAATTTGTTTTATTTGGAAGTTTGTTATATTGCAAAAGTTAAATGGTTGCACATGACATTTTATGTTTACTGTGTGATTCACAAGTTGGTTGATGGGTACATGGCGTTTTTCTGTAATATACCACAATGATGAATGTCAGGTTGCACGCTCTCCAAGTGTAGCCAGCATCTTTAGGTATACATAGTAACGGTTCGCTGTTTTTTTTCCTTTGTAGAAGAACATCGTGCATAGAGACTTGAAGCTTGGAAACATGGTGCTTAATAAAAGGTAAGGCTCCTCTCTTCTTTTTTCTTTTACCTGCTGTGCCGGTGGAGTTTTCTCTGCGCTCAGCCCTCTGTTGGGGTTTCATGGAGCACCGTCTGGCCTCATTGACCTCTCTCCTCTTGAGCTCTTAGTGAGAGTGTGATTCATCCCCACAGGCTGAAAAGGGAGGGGGAGTGAGCAGTGGGAAGCTATCCCAGTTAAAACGAGTAGGCATGGTACGTGCCCCTGGTTCGTTCTCTGGAAAAAAGGAGAGGATGATGGAGCCAGGGAAGGGGGGGCGGGCGGGTGATGAAACCGCACATGCTGGCTTGAAGGCATCTGAGGTCGGCAAGCATTGTGAATCGGATAGGCCTAGTGGAATTCCCAATCCCTCATCCATAAAGACCCTCTCCAAACACCATATGCGCCGCGTGCGTTTGTGTGTTTTCTGCCGTGTGTGTGGAACTGGTACACTTCTAACCACAGTTCTGTTGTCTCTGCCATTTCAAATGTCCCCAGGAACGAGACTAATTGAAAATCCTCAGTTCTGCCTGTCACATTTGCCAGCATGTGCTGCTCGCTGCTGAGTTCTCGCATATTGTAGTTCGGTCACATAAGTGCACAGCTTGTCTAATTATGAAACCCGTCACACCATATAAGCTCAGTGGCATGTGTAGTGAGAGGAGGAGTGGAGCTTGTTTCTTTTATCTCCTCTCCTTTCCTCGACTCTTTACGGGCAACTGTACTTCCTGGCTGATTGAATTGAAGGTATGCATTATGCACCTTTTCTGCCATTAACCCCTTCATCAAGCCTACAGCAAACAAGTGGATGTTTTTCTGTTAGTAAATAATTTTTCAAATTTTTCAAAAAACTAATTTTCTTTCTTTTTTGAGCAACTACCAAACTTCTGACTACACTACCATTCAATGCTAAAAAAAGAGCTTTTCGAACTTCATCAGAGTCCTAAAAACTTTCACAGTTTCCTCAAAATGATTAAGCAGCATGGTTTTAACACTGATAAAAATAAATGTTTCTTGAGTGTCAAATCAGCATATTAGAATGATTTCTGAATGATCCTGTGACACTGAATACTGAAGTAATGGCTGCCATTACTGCCATGGTTTCCCATTACAAGAATAAATGATTAAAATGACAAAATATTTAAATAGAAAATAAAAAAAACTGTTGTTTTAAAATGTAATATATAAAATAAATATTATAGTATTTTTATGAAATAAATGCAGCCTTGTAAGCGTAAGCACATTCTTTCAAAAACATTTAAAAAAAAAACTTGCAGACCCCAAATTTCTGAATGGTAGTGTACAAATAGATTAAAGGAAGGAAGAGCATGTGACATGGTGGTTTTTATGTTTGTGGTGTTTGCTCTGAAATGCACCTGGCAACTTTGTGGGCAACACTTTGGAGTTTATTTATAGGCTTATTTATAGGCATGCATGCCCGCCTATTACTAAAGCTGGTTTTTGCACTTGGAATTCTTATTTTTGTGTGAAAAGGTACATGTCAGAGCTGTGGCAGTGCAGGCTTGCTTGAGGAGAGATTCTCTTTTTATTTTTTTTTATTTTATTTTTTTTAAATATAGTTGTTGTTTTTTTCTCGTCTTAATATCTTGCATGTGTCATTGTTGAGTCAGGCATTTTCGCCTTTCCACGGGAGTCAATTAAAAGGACAGGCACGGACCAGTACAGGTGCATCTCAATAAATCAGAATGTCGTGGAAAAGTTCATTTATTTCAGTAATTCAACTCAAATTGTGAAACTCGTGCATTAAATAAATTCAATGCACACAGACTGAAGTAGTTTAAGTCTTTGGTTCTTTTAATTGTGATGATTTTGGCTCACATTTAACAAAAACCCACCAGTTCACTATCTCAACAAATTAGAATATGGTGACATGCCAATCAGCTAATCAACTCAAAATACCTGCAAAGGTTTCCTGAGCCTTCAAAATGGTCTCTCAGTTTGGTTCACTAGGCTACACAATCATGGGGAAGACTGCTGATCTGACAGTTGTCCAGAAGACAATCATTGACACCCTTCACAAGGAGGGTAAGCCACAAACATTCATTGCCAAAGAAGCTGGCTGTTCACAGAGTGCTGTATCCAAGCATGTTAACAAATGAAATAAATGAACTTTTCCCATGACATTCTAATTTATTGAGATGCACCTGTATATCGTTGCTGAACGAAAAAATAAAACATCCACACGTACTCGCACTCGTCACTGGACCCTATGGTGATGAAACCAAGCAGTTTGTCTGTTTCAGTTCAGCAAGAAAGCAGAACACTGTGTCCCAGCTGGAGATAATACAGCCCTCTGCCAAAGGATCCATAGCTCAGAGCTGAGTCACTCTCACGTAACGTTGGCAGAGCTCTCTCTCTTTTTCACTCTCCAAATACCCCTCTGATCTTATTGTCTGTGTGACCCTTCCCAGCCGTCAGACTGTTGGCTTTGGGTGGAATGGAAAGTACTTGGTATTACTCATAAGTGGTCCATGACATGTACACTTATTTTTTTTGACAAGACATTTGGGCCTTCAAAAATAAATCTGGTGGTCCTAATCAACCTGTGTAGGCATTGTTTATCCTCAGCATTTTGTCAATAACTGCCTGTAGTGCAGAAGCTTCTCTCACATTTCACAAGCGTTTGTTGCCATTACTTCATACCTCTTTTCCCTCCTTGACACCATATGGCTGTCACCGTCAAGACTCTATAAAAGTGAACAAATTGCCTGATCTGCACATTTGCTTTCACTATTAGCTTTTTTCCTCTTACAACACTGCTTGCCCAAGCAAAGGAACTCCAATACCAAACAATTGCATCAAAATTCCACAATAACCTCACCCAGCAGAGGAAGTTCTGACCAGATTTCGGCATCGAGACTTCCTCTTGCGTTTAAACCATTTAACTTTTCCCATCAACAGGGGCTAATTTTAGCAGCACTGAGAGACCGGGAGGCTTCTGGTCTCTTCACATGAGCAGGAAGAGGAGAGTAAGCAATGAGAATGTCCTGAGGAGAAACGCTTGCTGACTCTTTTCACTCGGGAACCAAGGCACATGGTCATGATGAAGCCAGACGAAAGCTTATATTAAGGCTAAAACTATTATGAAGATGAAAACTAGTGGAAACCGTGTGTCAAAAACAAATGGTTTAGACATTAGGAGCAGGTACATTTGAAATGGTCGACACAACAAGAAACTGCCATGTAAAAAAGCCATACAAGATGAAACAAATGAACTTAGTTTAGTTTGCTTCATCTAACTATCATAAAACAAAACTTTTGAAATTGTGTTTAAATGCCTTGAACCACAAACTTTACCGAATCATCAATCATTTGTCCTCTAGTGTGAGCCATCTGGAGCTTAGCAGATCCAGTTCATGCACGAATATAGAGTTGCATTTGATAAATTAATGCAATGCTAAAAGTAAACTGAAAATTATTTATAACTGGTACAAATGCAGTGAATGTTTTTTTCCACAAAGTCCATTGTGACTAATCTCTTTTCTCCTTTTAATCTAATTTAATCATGACCCTCCTTTTTAAATGAAGATGGTGATCATATTTAAATCTGTTAGTAACTCTGCTGGGAAAAAAAATCAAGCTTCAGGAACGGGCCTGTTTGTAGCTGTTAGGCGTAAGTGTGACAGTCACTTTCAGGGTGTGAAAGTGAGAGTGTAACTGGGGAAGCATGGGAAAAGAGGATGTAGCTGAGAGATGTAGCTGTAGTGGTGGAGGGGTTTTTTTCAGTGAAGGGAGATTACAGCTGTGACTGTGTGAATTCTCACATTGGAGGTCCCCCAGTTCAGCTCTGTCAGCTGACGTGTTAGTTTTGCTCATTGTAAATGTGAATGCATTTCTATGTGTTTGTTAGAGTGCTTGTTTTCATTGCATGCCTGTCACTGAAAAAAAGTGTTGTTCTTTCCTTTCTGATGTGCAAAGATTAGTCATCCCTGAGCTTGTGAGAAGCCACAGGTGACTCACTTGTTTGTCAAGTGCAGTCATGGTGTGTTCTGTCATGTTGGGTTTTGCTTTCTGGAAAGGCAGAATGGCTCCCTGCCACAGATTAGATTTAATGACATAGACAAAAATATCAGAGGCATGTTTGCACAGATACACACACGACTCGACTAACAACTGTTAGAGTTTCGTTTTGATATGCATGTATAGTGTAAAAAAAGTGTTTTTTATGTATGCATGTATACCCACTTGGAATGAACCGAATCTCGCAATCATATTAAATTCATAAACACAGCAGAATTTAAGGGAAAATATTTTTATTTTGTTGTTTTGGATGATGTTACCAGACTCTATCCCTCTAACCATCTGTTTATTTTTATTTAATTTCATTTTATGCCTTTTTTTAAGGACAAGCTAAATTGTCAAAATAGTTTTTTTTTTCCTTTTGATTTTGCGATAACATTTGACCTGGACATGCTTACTAAGATGCACATCATGGATTTCACAAGCTATCTTTTTAATATAAACAGTGCGACTTGATGTGAAGATTCATGGTTGTTTTTTGACGTCATTGGTGTTTTGTGTGCTGCAGGACCCATCGGATCACCATCACAAACTTTTGCCTTGGCAAGCATTTGGTGAGTGAGGAAGATCTGTTAAAGGACCAGCGAGGCAGTCCAGCCTACATCAGCCCAGATGTCCTGAGCGGTGAGAATTCAGCTTCTCTGTGTGTGTGTGTGTGTGTGTGTGTGTGTGTGTGTGTGATTCACATGACTCACCCTCAATGTCACCACTGTAATCAAAGCTCATAAACCCAACCACCTACACGGCCCTAATCAGGACAGTAGTCACAAACCGTCAGCATGGATGAGCAATAGTTAGGTTGATTGAAGACATTGTGTGTGTTGCGTGCCGCAAGACTTGACCTGTTAGCTCATCAACGACTCAATACCAAAACTCTTCCCTTAAGCTCGTTGTCATGGCCTCGAGCAGATCTCAGCAGTGCGACGGATCAAATTAACAGCGGTTGTATCACGAGGTGTATCTTTCCAAACAATCTCTCTCTGTGAAGAGAGATTGTGAAGTTCACTCAAGTGATGTAATTTCAGTACATAGGAATCGCTGTTTATCTTATGTCAAACGTTTATGTAGCACAGTGCAGTTAGCCCTACTGAATAGTTAACACACACAAATTATTTTGACCTTTTTTGGTTTTCACAAACTTAAAAGTGGCTAGTCAGTATTGTTTTTGGAGATTAAAAAAAAATTGGGGCATTACAGAAACTGCCAATAGAGATTAGCTTGTATTTAACCTAAAATATTCCTTAATATTATATGATATAATTATATTAATAATGTTTATATTAATTATATTGTATTATATTAATATCAATAAATGTCTCATTTCCCCCCTCACATTGTAATTTATTAAGTAAAATTAAAATATAATGATATGCCTCACTTTAGATTTTTTACATTGCAAAGCAATTAATATTGTCATTTATGATGTATAAAGTATTCATATGATTTCAAAAACCTGTGCATAAATGCATCACAGGCGTCTGTCCGACACGTCTTTACCATAAAGTAGGTTGCCTTCTGAGATGCTTCGTTTTTTGCTCAATTCAAAGACACCATCAGATCATTGAAAAATTTAAATGAAGTGATGTGACGTTGATTTAAGCATATAATTCATTCAATACTGAAATTATATTTAAATGTTTAAAATGTCTATTTTCAATAAAAGTTTGTTTGTGGACTGTGTTTTTTTGTCACATGAACTTTGCGTGCAGAGTGCTATTTGTACGATACATAGTTGAAGATCCCTGCATTTAAATCTTGTTCGTTTAGTTGACTCACTAACTAAAATATCAAACCGCACCACCTTTCCAGAACTGTCTTTCATGTGTTTTCGGGGTTTTTCCCAATACATCTATGGATGTAGGCTCTGGTTAGATGGTGCATTCCGAGTATACATGTTAAATAGAGGCGCAGTCAAGCTCTTGTTTGCGGTCTCCATTCACAGTAAAATGACAGAAAGAAACCGGGAGTAAATCAGCCAAATATGACAGCAGAACAAAGGGAGAGCTGCTTCAGTGAGTCATCACAATGAGTCATGCAGAGAGGAACTACTCTTCCTGCTCTCTCCCTATCTCTCTCTCTCTCTCTCGCTCTCTTCCTCTCACTGTTTTTCCATTGCTCACTCTCTCTCTTGTCTCCCTCTCTTTCGCTTTCTCATGCGTAGGGTCAAAGTAGAAGCAGAGAATGTGTACCTTACAGAAAAATATACCATACAAATCACATTGTTTACTAAACAGAAACCTACCCAATTAACCCCTCTTTTAAAAGCTCCCATGACTCATTTGTACTCTTCTGGCACATTGTGTTCTGCCCATTTATGGTGGTAAACAAAGCGGTTTAGTGAGTGTGAACAGGATTTGGGGGACTTTATAAGATTTTGGCACTATTGGTAGCATATGTTTTATGTGTACACACTATCACTACTCGCCCAAGAGAAAGTTCCAGTCTGATTGAATGAGCAAACTGTTGTAGAGCTGCTTGTTAAAATTGCACTTTGTGTTTCCATGTAGGTCGACCATACCGCGGTAAACCCAGTGATATGTGGGCGCTCGGTGTGGTGCTGTTCACCATGCTCTACGGCCAGTTCCCATTCTATGACAGTATACCTCAAGAGCTCTTCCGCAAGATCAAAGCAGCAGAGTACTCCATCCCTGAGTGAGTCTCTCCATTTATCTTTCTGTGCTTTGATGTGAATTAATTGTTGAAAAATGTTAATTGGCAAATATTGTGATGGCCCTTGTTTAAAAGGATTGTTCACCCAAAAATGAAAAACACTCATGTTCTTCATGACATTGGATGTCAAGATTTCTGTTGAATTGTTCCTCATGTATAATTGATGTATGACTTCAGAAGATGCATGGACCATTTTTATGGTGCTTTTGCGTCCTTTCTGAAGCCTAAAAGTTACTTGTACCTTATTAATAAATCGCTTGTGTTCCATGGAAGAAAATAAGTCATACGGGTTTGAAACGGCTTAAATTTTATCCTTTTTTTTTTTTGGTGAGCTATTCCTTTAAATGAAGACTCTAAAATGTTTTTGCAGATGGAAATGCTAATTTGTCTTTGTGCCTGTTTCGTTTTGCACAGGGATGGGCGGGTATCAGAAAGTACAGTGTGTTTGATCAGGAAGCTTCTGGTGCTTGACCCCCAGCAGAGGCTCACTGCCACCGAGGTGCTCGAGTCTCTGAGCGCCATCATTGCATCCTGGTGCGTCTCATCTGAAATGAGATCAACTTTATTGTTCCATTTTTAGCCAAGACTTCTTGTCAGAGTTCAAGTAACTTATTAGGAATTTATGTGATGGGATGATGTCATTTTTGGTCAGCGATGTTGTCTCGCCACATTTTTGCAATCCAGTGCAGTTTTCAGTCATGCATTTAATGTTCCCTTGGCTGTAGATCTGAAAATTCCCATTTGTCATCGACTGATTTATTATAATTTTTTTTAAATAGGCAATCTGTGTCCTCACTGAGTGGCCCTCTACAAGTGGTGCCGGACATAGACGATCAGCTTAACCACCCCGAACATCTTCAGGAGGTCAGTTCCGCTTATAGATGTTACAATAATATTGAAGAATGACTCCGAGTCAAAAAAAGTTTTCTTTAACACTGCTGTTGCGTAAAATGTTGCATTAAAATCATTGGGACCATTTATGTATGTATGATCTGACTTATATACAAATTCATTTTACTTGTATTTTATAAATATGGTCCAAAATATGTAATGCTTTATGTGGCATTGAATCATGGATAATAATATAAACTTCCTCTTTAAACTGCATTAACATAGTGAGGTACTTTCTGGCACTGAAACGGTCTTTTATTGACCCTCCCCCCAGGCGAAAGTGACAGAGGAGTCGTCTCAGTACGAATTTGAAAACTACATGAGGCAACAGCTCTTGTTGGCAGAAGAGAAAAACACTATCCACGAGACCAAGAACTTCCTCAGCAAGAGGCATTTCGGTAACGTGCCTCCGGTGAGGCGCCTTGGCTACGACGCTCAACCCATCAGCCCTCTGGATGCCGCTATACTGGCCCAGCGCTTCCTCCGGAATTAGCACCGTCATTCTGCCTGCAGACGGGGGTCACAAGGAGTGGAGCGAGCCACGGAACTGGGCGCACTCTTTTATGTACGTTTGCGTGTGAGAGTGTGTGTGTTTGTGAGCATGCAGCGTGAGTCTGGCAGACACAAACTTGGGCCAAGGAACAGCTCAGCGCTCCGTTGCTCCATTCATCGGCCCAGGACACAGACTCTGGACACAGGTGTAATGAGATTCTGACCACCAACACCACATCCACCATGCCAATCCTTGCCCAAATCTGACACACACACACACACGCACACACTTTCAGCAATACCCCAACAGAATCATGTAGCAGATCACACAACTATCCTTTTTCCATCCGCCTCTCCCCCAGCACTTTCTACAGGAGCGCCTCGGATCACATGATCAACCCTTTTGTTCTGTTCCCCTCAACCAGTTCGTCTGTTCTGCTCCCATCTGTATCTATGATTGCAAATCTACCTCTTACCATTTTTTTCTATCTCTCTATTTCCTCCTTTCTTAGTCAGTTTTTAACAACGCTCTCCGTTCTTATGAAAGCAGGACTCATTATGTTGAGGAGAGACAAGCACAGGCTCAAGATCATTAGCATTGTGGTTGTGTAACTATTCTGTGTCAAAACCAGTGATTGGTTTTTCCTCAATCTAAATAAGCTTCTCCCCTCCTCTCCTACTAAAACGGTAGCATTTTAAGTTAGATTATTCTCTTTATTTCCATTGAAGATGTTAAGTTTCACAAGTTAAAAAGCTAAAAACCTCATATTACTGAAATCATAGCAGCGCATGTTTCTCCTTCCTCTATTTGAATGGGTTTCTGTTGGCAGCTAGCATCTGTGTCTGGATGCATACAACCAAAAGCATAACTTGGCATCCAAACCGGCCAATATGGTACGTTATTTTCCCATCTTGCTTTTGTCCAATCAGAAGGCAGCAGAAAGTGCAAGACCACCACTTCCTGTGCATTCGACCAAATGGAAATTTACTTTTAATCATGTAATATGCCACTACAACGGACTTTTGAGAGCTGAGCTAGGTGGTACTTTTGTGGATTTCGGTGTGTGCCACACAGGGACTCATCGCAGGGCTGTGCTTGGAAAAAGACGAGGTACGGTACAGCTGGTGATGGGATGAAACCGTCAGGAAGCAGGGCGGCCAAGCCGGCAGTCATATGGAAGTCTAAGCCAAGATAAGCCCCGTAAGCACAGCCCTTAAGCCCTCCTTTCCTTTTGTGTCCCTCCGTCTAGAGCGCTCACCCTCTGATAGCATGCCAAGCCATCAAAGTGCATCTTCTGCCATGTCCTGTATCTCCGGTGCTTTCGTTACCCACACAGATTTCAGCTGCAGCTCAGGGATCGAGGATTGGCCACTAGGGAACGTTTCTGGCCACAATGATACAAAGAAACCCATTGCATAGGGGATTGTTTCTTTTTGTTTTTCTTTTTATTATTTTTTTAACTGCTTCATGATCATCAGGAAGGAAATGCCATGAAACCCACTCCTCTCCATGTTTCTTGTTTGAGAATATTGCAAGGAAACCGATTCTTAATGTCATTTGATTTTTTTCAGTCCTGTTTTAAGCTACCCCATGTGTATAAAGCATAACTGTGGGATATCTTGCCTTAGGTTATCAACAACAGATTTTCAACTCAACCGTGAGCAGTGAATATGTACTTCTGATGCTAGAATATATCTTAGTATACTAGGCGGTTGGCTTGCATCGACCTGTGGACCTGTGGCTTAGTTTGCAATGCCTTTATGTCTGGCTCCACTCATGTCATTAAATGAAAAGGTCATTCAGTACTGTAGATCTCTGAGCTCATGACTAGCAGCTTGGCTTGTCCTTTTAATCTCCACTTTAATTTCTTCTTTTGAAGACATACAGCCTGGTAGTATATCCGTACCTTTCTGTTTTCCTTTTAATTTATTTGCTGTTTTTAATTCATCTGCCATGGTAAATGTAGAGATCATGTATCACTCAAAAGCATTGATCTCATGTTTTTTCCTTCTATCTTCAGTGAAGGTTTTGTTTTATTGTCTCTTTCCTTTTTTTAAATTCTTGAATAATTATTGCAACAATCCTGTCGGTATATTAAGCTACACTAATTAGGTGACTGACTTTGCATAGCTCTATTTTAAGTCAACTAAATTATCATGCACATTAGCATGACATGTAGAATCGATATAGAATGATACCGCACTCTGGCCAGTGTGAAAGACATTGTGATGGAGGATAGGCATCAATAGTGCAAAACACAGTGCAGGGTATTATTATTCTGAAGAATCGCACCAATGTTTCCACACAAGCCACCATTGAAAGCATTAGTTTTTCCCACCTCAATGTGAATATATTTGGTTGTAAAGCAGTATTGTAGTGGATAATATGCGTGACTTGTTGGAGAGGGACTTTTTTGTGAGCAAATCAAAGTCCTTTCCTTATATTCAAAAAGGAGTGCCTCAAGGCTATATCCTAGGTCTACGTAGAGTTCTCACAAAAGCCATTATATCATAGCAAATTTGTACAGTTGCAATATGGCTGCTGTTGATGTGGTTGTGTAGTCTGTACCCAAAATCTAGATGAAAGAAATTAGTAAATATTTCTGTTTAATATGCCCCCTACGCAAGTGACTGCAAACTCCTCCGTCCCCCTTGCATAGACAGTTCCGTGATGTCCAAAATTCTGTCTGCAGCATGAGAAGTGTACGTTTTTTGAGCTCTGTATACAAATTTGAAGCAATTAGTGCATGATTCTAATTAGCAAGACGTGCCCAAGATGCAGCAGAAATTGTAGTGGATGTGGGTGTATTGCAAATGATGAATACTCCAAAAAACACAAAGACACTGCAAGGGAAGATACTGAACATTAAGTTTAATTTAGATTTTCTTTTCTTTTTAGGCCACTTTGTGCAGATGTTTCATAAATTGGGAGATTTCTCTTTAGAATTGTTACTTTTTTGCATCTTTTACTAAAACTGGAAAATCTAAATCTGGTGTAAAACAAAACATGATGAAACTGGTCAAAAGCCTGAACGTTTAATGTCATAAGCTGCTTGGTTAGAATGGTGTCAAAGAAAAAAAAAACTGGGTAATTGTACAGAGGAAAAACTAATTTGTATAAAAGACATATTTTTGTACTTCATCAAATCTCTACATGCATGTCAGCAATAAACTTTTTTGTCTCTTTGTATGATTTGAAGTGTAAAAGTTAATTTTGCCTTTAAATCCAGTATTTAACGGCACTTTTTTTTAAAAAACAATGCATCTCTTTGATGGCATCGGTATAATACTTTGTTTCATTCAAAGAATTTCTGTTTGAAAAATTATTTTAATTAATTCTTAATAGCCCTTTATTTTGGGTGAAGTTTTCAGTATGTTTTTGAGAACAAAACGCTCACAACTGCATTTTAGGTGCAGTTCTGCCTTCTTGTGGTAGACCTATGGAATGACATGCAAGACTTTTTGCAGAGATGCCCAGACAAATTTGATCTCTCATCTCAGTCTGAATTAAATGGATCTGTTTGGATGATGTGATATTTAGAGCCATTACAAAGTTTTGTTGTAATACCATCCTGATTAACCCTTAAGCTATACAATTTTTTAGTTAAAGAGACTCCTATTTATTGACTTGAAAGCTCTTTTCATCAGTTTCTCATCGAGTATCTACAATTCCCCTTTTACAGAAGACTTTTACTCTAGCACTTTGTGTATTTGTGCTCATTAATCATCTGAATGTCTGTGTAGCTGTTTGAACTCGAAGGTCGCTGGTCATTATTCAACTTTCTCTCCTGAAATAAGATGTCTGCCAGTTTAATTTGCCAGAATAAGCTTCAATGTGAACCAAACCTTATTAATCAAGACCTGGACACGTAGGACTAGTTTGAAGCAAACATTGAAAGTCCAACACATTAAAGTACATCTCCCAAGAGTTGTAAAACCAACTTCAGCCTAATAGTTTACAAGCCACTTATTTGTTGAAAGCATATTTTGAGAGGAAACACTCCTTTAACATGAGTCTTTTTGTTGAGTGATTTTGAACAGCAAAAAACATTCACATGATGCACACAAGGCATCCATATGAGCTGTTGAACAAAACTGTGCTCGCAAAGCAAATTCCTTAGCTGTTTGTTTTCATTTCACTGTGCCTGTCCCTATAGTGTGCTCAAAACAACACATGGGAGTTTACATGCAAGATTTCCAGAGCACATTTTGGGCATCCTTTATTATTGATGATCTGATTTCCTGTAAATACATCCTCAGAATGCAATATTTGTTAGTCCTGCTCTTTTATAAGACCGTTGTAATGGCTCAGACTGCCTGGGGTTAATGTAGCAAATTTGAAGTGTTTGATAAATGATGTTACTGCTCCCCTGGGGTTCAGCACTAGTTTTAAGACTCAAAATCACCATTAAATGTGTGAACCACTACGCCTCACAGCAAAGCCCACATTAAAGATAGAAAACAGTGCTGGCTAACTCAAGACACTGGGGTTAAACTGGAGACATTTTTAGTGAATGCTTTGGTGTGGGTTGTGAAGCTGTTGTGTACTGCAGACATTAAAGTTTCCAGTCTTATGATAATTCCGTTCTAGTCTTATGAAACTCAGCTGGCAGTGGCTCACATTTTATTTTATCTGGTTACATTTAAATGTTTTAATTTATTTTAATATAATCCTATCATTTTTACTTGTTTACATTTCGTTTTTAAACAATTTTTTTAAATGTTAAAACTCTCTAAATATATATACAAACACACAAATGTAAACTATATGGATGGAATATATATTTAAAACTACACATATACATATATATCGCATTAAAAGTATTGAAAATTAATAATAAAAAAAATTTAACCTAATTAAATTTTAATTTAATTATACTTGGTTACATTTCTTTTTGTTACAATCTATCTATCTATCTATCTATCTATCTAGCTATCTATCTATCTATCTGCTTGCTTCTCTTACATAATTGTTTTATCTCTTTGTCTGGTATGAAAACTGCTCCATGTAAGTTATCTTACCTAGACAGATAGGTCAAGATACTTTAGTATTGCCATAAACGCAGCTGATTTTTTTCACAAAAAATAATAAATTCTGATATGGGAGCTTTTTAGAAAAATTCTATTAAAAAAACACTGTTGATGCCTGACTGTCAGCTTTCACTGTAAGCCCCACGTGAGAAATCTTCAAAATTTCTTCAGGTTTGGAACAATGTAAGGGTGAGTACATGATGTAATTTATTTGTGGGCGAACTCTCTATTTGGTCTATCACATGCTCATTCATTGCTCTTGAACACATAGCTTTGGCTTTGACAGGATGCAGGGGATTCATGACAGGATACATTTGTTTCCCCCTCTGAGCAGCAGTGGAGTTTTGTGTTGTGTAACTCCCTGAATATTCCAAGTCTGTCTCAGCAACAGCAGAACATGTGTGTTGTCTCTCGGGTGAAGTCTGACGTCTGAAGGCCTTATTGATTTCTATAAACCATTTTTGTACCCAGTGAATCGCATATGATGACATGATGATACACAGTACTCACTCACAGTCCCTAATCCCCCATTTTAAGTGTAAACGAGAACATTTCCCTCAAGTAATAGTTTTCTTGCTCTGTTGAATCAGGAAGGTCGCCAAGCTGTAATTTGAAATCTTTGTTGTCCATTCCATTCTTGTCTCTCTTTTTTTCCCCTCAGTACCCCATTCTGGGGCAGTATCCTCCATCTGACCCGAGAGCCCCATTGATTCCATTATCTGCTGGATGAGATCCAGACTCTGTCAATTAAAGCCTTCTGCTGTAGTGGAGGACGTGCTGAGTAACCTGCTGTGTGTCCGTCTCAGAGGCCTTTGTATCCTTGACCTTGAGCGCATGAGATACGACCGCTCTCGCTGCTTTCCCAAAAGACTTGACACTGATTTATCTGCCACCCTGCAAAAACTAAGCCTGTAAATGGCAGAGCCTCGTGGCCCCCAAGTTTCTTATAGGTTTGTTTCTGTATTAAATTCAAAAATTACAGCAACTCAATGTAGTTTTGTGTATTTTTGCGACTTTAGAGCCCCCTACTGTTGGAATTCACAGTCGTAAATATATCGATGTCGTAATTACCATCGATAGTTGTACCAGAGATTATCTATAAGGAGATGAGAGTGTCTGTATTACTTAGGCCTACTATTGGAGAAAGCGTAACGGCTAACTTGGATCATGTGTCCCTTAAAGGTGCTGTATGTAAGTTTTTGACTCTACTAAAGCATAAAAATACCATAATATGTTTGCAGATATTTAAGAAACATGCTAAGTTAACATACTTGTTTATCTGAAGAACAATGCTATAGTCAGTTATTCTTCTTTGAAAATGTGCGTTCCGGGCCGGAATGTCGGTCTCTGTTTTGGTCTGTGATACCCGCCCACTGCCAGTTTACCCAATTGTATTTCCTCAGCCCGGGTTGGCAGTTGGCGGAAAACAGAACGGATTTCATTTCATTCATCATCAAATGCACTCGTTCCTGTTGGTGTTGTCAATCTGGCAACCTGCATGTGCATCAAGTCTGAGGAGGAGGGGCGGGGTGAAAAAAAACATCTGCAATATTTTGAATTTTTACTGCAATACCTAGTTCAACCACTCGGTGTCAATCCTACATACAGCACCTTTAAAAACCAATCACATTACAGCCTTGATGTCATTGAATTTCATTCAGTGTTGTGCCACACTCAATTGTCGTTTACGGATGCCATAGGAATGAATGAGAAGTGCCGTAAACTGAATCCCACCTGTCGCAAAAAGTCAGTGACTTTTCTTATAAAACTGCATTTTTTTCGTGGTAAACTCTAAAAATAGTTCAATCCAAAAGTATTGTTTAGTGTAAAACATGTTGAAGGTTAGCCAATAGGCTGTCGATTCATTAAATGATAAGCCGTTTCTTCTAAAAAGCTGTTTATTCAGCGTAGTAAAGCCTCTCCTCCATTGACATACATTTTTTTTAAAAACGGCCTCTGGTCTCCTGGTGCGTTCAAGTCATGTCGGATAGATCGTATTTACGAGTTGAACGCACATGAACGCCATCACAAAGTCGTTATTACGAGTGGGAAACTCGAAATTTTCTTTAAGCCCCGAGTTTCCGAGTTGGGGGCGTGTCAATGAGAAACATGGCGGAATCGATGGATGCAACGTTTGTAGTTGACGGTAAATTTTTGTTTAAATTGATAGTTTAGTTGTCCTATAAACTTAAATTGGTCATATTCTTGTTACGCAGCTAGTTAATGAAGTCCAAGTAAAAAAATGCTATCATTTTTGCACCTATAGGTGAAAAACACACCTGATGCGAATTCTTTGCTCTTCATTTTCTATAAGCAGAGTTAACAGACCCTGTTGTATTTTCTTGTAATTTATTAAAAGAAGGTACACCGCCATCTTGAGCCGACTAAACTGACCGACTAAACTGACTTGAACGCACCTGACGTCGTAATTACGACTTGTCGTCTCGTAAGTAGGAACGTCCCAGGAGGACTTGAACGCAGCATCCTCTCCCACTTACTGCCAGATTGGAAGCGTTAGCTTTAGCCGTTATGCTTTTTCGGCTAATGGTTGCAGGCTTGCCTTCTAGTGGCTTTGGTTGTACACGTGCATTTGTTGTTGCCGTAAAGCAATCCGCCCTTTTCCCCGGAATTTCGTACCCGCTCATCAAAAAGAACATGCGTTTAGGGACTACATTTATAGGATGAAAATGTTTTACTTAATTTGAATGTAACTGAATTTTTATTCAGTTCATTGCAGTACTTTAAAACTTTTTTTTTATTTGTAACTAATTAACAGTATTATTGCTAGTATTTACATGTGGTAGTATTTTGTCTTTGTTTGATATGTAACTTATAATGCTTAATCACACTAATTAGAGCTACATTGTAGCTATTTAGATGCCCCAATTTGTAGTACCAAGATTGAAAAAAAAATTGCAAATTGTAAATTTTTAAACAGGTAGGATTTAGACAACCAACATCTCTTAAGTTTTTTTTTTTTGCACTCAATTTATGTAAAGTGCCATCCTGTAAAAACTGTATCTTTCTGAGCTCTTCACAGTTCAGGTACACTCTTTCCTCCATTCCCTTCGTTTTTTTCTTGTCACGTCTGCTTATTTCATGTGTCTCTGCGTATTTGAGAAATTAAAAACAGGCTGAGAGTGAGGCTGTCTTTCTG